CTGAACTGGACTGACCCATGACTAGTTTGAAAAGAGAATGGGTCCAAGTCAGATCAATGGGGTTCATTAAAACAGAACCAAACTGAGTTTAAATCCAATTACATGAAGTCCAGGAGAGTAAAAAGTTATTTCTGGTTAAGGTCAGCTGCTCATATAATCCTCTGAAGTAACAAGCTGTTCTCATCTCAGAAAGTATGTGGAGATAGTGGAGAGGAAGGAACCTAAAGAGAACCCGTTTGGTAAAATCATCAGACAGCCTTGATGGGACTCCGCTGTTATGCTGATGATACTCAGCTATATTTGTCCAAATATCCCAATTAGTCTAACTAGACTTCTGGTGCGTCTTGAAGACATTAAATGTGTTACTTCAAGGCTGGACCATTGTGATTCTTTACTATCAGGAAGTCCACAAACTGTAGTTAAAAGCCTTCAGCTGATCCAAAATGCTGCAGCCAGAGTTCTGATGAAAATGAAAAAGAGAGATCATATCTCTCCTATCCTGGCTTCTCTTCATTGGCTTCCTGTTAAATCCAGAATAGAATTTAAAATCCTCCTTCTCACATATAAAGCCTTAAATGGCCAAGCTCCATCTGATATCAGAGATCTGATTGTTCCTTATGTTCCTAACAGAGCACTTCGCTCTCAATCTGCAGGTTTACTAGTGGTTCCTAGAATTTCTAAAAGTAGAATGGGAGGCAGATCTTTTAGTTATCAGGCTCCTCTCCTGTGGAACCAACTACCAGTTTTAGTCCGTGAGGCAGACACCCTGTCTACTTTTAAGGCTAGGCTTAAAACTTTCCTTTTTGATAAAGCTTCTAGTTAGAGTGGCTCAGGTTATCCTGATCTATCTCTATAGTTCTGCTGCTATAGGCTTAGACTGCTGGAGGACATAGGGACCCCTTTTTCATCATTCTGCTTCATTCTATCACTATTCTTTAAAAAACCAACTCTAAATCATGTCACAGACTCTGCACACAATGATAAACCAGAATACTGCATATTTGCACCATATATATATTAATGCTCTGATCTTCCATATCAATGCATAGCATGTTTTTTGATCTCTGAGGCATTTTATGAAATTAAAATGTTAATTTTACTGCTAAGCTGCTGCTAATTCACTGTCTGAAAGCTGTTCAAAACGAAATTTCATTTTGTATACAATCTGTACACTCTGCAGAATCTGTTAGTTCAATCTCTAACGTTCTGCTCTCTCTGCTTTTTCTCATAGTAGCTTCATCTGGTCTGTTCCTGTTTGGCTGTGACTCCATCCTGGAGAGAAATATCAGCGGTTCTGTTCTCTGGTCCATCTTCTAGACTTGAATATCTGCTTTCTTCATCCGTCCATCTGTCTCTGTCTTTAATCCAGGCTGATATTAGTTTGCATCATTGGTTATTTTATTATTTCCTTGTTTTTTTTGTGTCTGGTAGACGTGAAGCTGAAGTTTTGTCTCGCTGCTGTTTTCTCTACAGAGATCATTTTCCAGCTGCAGCAGTTCGGTCCGCCCGCCAGCGTCTGACCTCAGCCGAGGATTAGCTGCTCGGACTCTTTTATTTTTCAATCTATTTTAAACAATGCCTTCAGATTAGCCCGCAGAGTCAGAGTGCATCAAATAAAGAAAATCGCATCAAATTATCCCATTAATATTATTATATTGCATCATTATATAATGGAACAAAGTGGTTGGGTTCAGTCATCCTGCTCAGCCCTCATCTATAAAGAAGCTGGATGAAAATTGGATTGGCCTGTTCAGAGCACCAAACAGAGGGACAGAGGGACAGACTCAGAGACACTCAGTGTCCAACGGCGGCGTCCATCTGTAAACAGCAGGCTCTTCAGTCCTGGATGAAGTGGGTTGAAAAAGGCCTCTGGGAGCCCATTATCCAATAATCCCGCAGCTTCGTGTCGTCGCTGTGTCTAATGGCTTGTTTTGTGGACTAAGTTAAGCTCTGAGAACAAGAACATGCTGAATAATAATAATAAAAGAACTGATGAAAACAGTTTAATCTTCCTCATAATGTGGCCGTGCTGGTCTAATCCACGTCTTCCTGGTCCTGCAGGATGAGATGCTGTTTAATCGACTTTGGGAGAATTAGTCATTCCTTATTACCGTCGTGGTTTTTACAGGACTTTCCTGGAAAATCCCATTCAACACACATTTTAATTTCATTTCTGTGCCACAGTCATGTTGAGGGCAATGTAAATAATCCAATAACATTAATCATCATTTCTTCCCCCCCCCCTGAAATAGTCTGGGGCAGCGGTGGGATTGGATGGAGGGAGACGCTCCTGTTCACTCTTCTTTATTGGGTTTTAGAGGCTCTGATGGTTTTATAAAATATCATCATGACCCCAATTTACCGGAGCGGAGCGGCTGCATCCTCAGCCTTCAGCTTCAGTCACTGTTTTCTCTTCTCCCCCCCCCCCCAGCTGTTGGTAGACCCGCACCTGCAGGAGTTAAACTGCTGTTTGTTCTCTCAGCACCTGAGGATGTGAGTGATGTTCCAGCAGCTGCTGCACACTTCAGATAATCGGCTGCAGAGACGATGAGTGAAAACTAAGATGCAGCCTAATAAGGATCAGAAAATAAGGCAGCTCAGTCCAGATGTCTAATCCACCCTGAAGCTGCGTCTTACAAGACCTCAGCAGAGGCTCCATGGGTTATGATGCTAACATGCTGAATTATGTCTGCAGAAATCCTCCCTAATAATCCTCCTGATGGGATCACATGACCCAGTTAGAGCGGCTGCAGCTTCCAGCTCCACCTTCAGGAGACGTTGGAGGAACGGATGCAGCACGGCCTCCACCTCCCAGCACAGACAGACAGGTTAGCTGGAACTGATCCTGATGTTCTCCAGATGTTCCTCGGCTGGTCGCTGCGTCTCAGCAGCTCTCCATCTTCAGCCGCTTTCTGCCTCTATTGACATCTTAGTGTGATTAGTGTCTCAAACTGGCGGATGGTGTCCAAACGTGATTTGTGTGTAAATCTGCGGGCCGATTAGGAACCACTCAGCACCGCTTTGTTCTGCTGAACCATCAGAGTGATGAAAATAAAAAGCAGCAGAAGATTACAGAACCATTAAGGTCAGTGCAGCCATTAACTGATAAACAGCTATTAGAGGCTTACAGATGACATGACGGACAGGCAGCAGAGTGATGAAGAGGAGGAGGAGGAGGAGGTGACCGCCGCTCTGCTCACACAGACCAAACATCATCTGAAGAAAAGGTCTGAAGTGAAGCTGAGACACACAGCCTCTGATTGGCTGCAGGTCCATCAGGTGGGCGGAGCCTCAGGTCAATCAGCAGGATCATTTAATCCACAGTAATTGATCAGATAATTGATTCATTAGCTTTCAAAAAATGTTAAAAAACAAACAATCCTCTTTCTCTTCCCACCAGGAAGCTTTTTCAATTCTG